CTTCCCGGAGAACATCAACTCCATTGGAAACCCTTTCCCCCATCAGTGACCTATGTGTCCATATTCATTTCTGTAGGTGAAGTACTCCCAAGTTGTCAAGTAAAAGTGTGATTCTACTAGATAGCATGGATGGCATGGGTGGAGGATGAGATAACATGGGTGGAAGATGAGACAGCATGGATGGCCTTCCTGAAAAGTGAGATAGCATGGATGACATGGGTGGAAGATGACATAACACGGGTGGAAGATGAGATAGCATGGACGGCATAAGTGGAAGAAGAAATGAAAACAATATTCAGATTCCAAGTCACTTGATTAGCTCTTAAGGAGCAGCATGAAGCTCCCAACTCACAACATTCAACTCTTCAAAAACTGAGTTGGCCTTATAAATTTTTTTCAGTAAATTCTGAGCCTATGAATCTATTTATAAATAGTTTCTCCCATCAGTCATTTTCAAAAGGACAGCGGAGAAGATATCAAAGGGAAATGGAGGGAGATAAAGAGAAAAGAATAGAAAAGCAAGGAAGAGACAAGATGAAAGCAACAAATGCAAGAAACACTGTTTTTAAACAAAAGGAGAAAATGGGGCAAAGTAAAATGACGATCTTTTTCTTTTCTTGGACTTTATGTTTGTTTCTTGAGACAGGCTCTCACTATGTAGCCTGGTATAGCCTGGAGCTGACTTGTAGACCAGACTGGCTTCAAACTCACAGAGTTCCACTCTGTCTCCTGAGTGTTGGGATTAAAGGAGTGTGCTACCACACCCAGTGCTTTTAGGGGATTTGTTGTTGTTGTTTCAAGACAGGGTTTCTCTGTGTAGTTTTGGAGTCTTTCCTGGATCTCGCTCTGTAGACCAGGCTGGCTTCAAACTCACAGAGATCCACCTGCCTCTGCCCCCCAAGTGCTGGGATTAAAGGCGTGTGCCACCACTGCCCGGCAGGATTTTGTTTTGTGTTGGCTTCTGTGCCGAGACTGAATATCACAGGTATTCCAGGCTGGCCTTGAACTGACTATGTAGCCAAGGAGGTGGTGGTGGGGGGCGGGGAGAACACTGAGACCAGCTGGTTCCTCTTATATCAAACACTGATCAAGAAAATTTCCCCGCAGACTTGCTGACAGACTAATCTGATGGACGCATTTTCTTAATTGAGGTTTTCTTATCCCAGATGACCTTACTTTGTATCAAAGCAACAACAACAACAAAAAAACTAACCAGCATATAAGGCAACATTGGAATATTTCGTTATCAAGGGAACCCTCTATTTCATTGGGTCCAAATAATAGCCCATAATGCGTTAAGTTTCCAAAATGATGGAGAAAATGGTTTTGCTCCCACATAACAGTGTCCACCAGAGAGTGGTTTCCTCAGCCATGTTCCTCGGTCACATGATGTTCCATGTGTCATATGGATGGCTAGAGGTCCACGCCACTGTCTTTGCACTTTGTGCAGGAGATGCTATGTAAGATACAGGAGAGCAAGTGGTTTTATCAATCATACTTAGCCTTGTGCCCCGCCTCCAACTTTTACTTGTATTTAAATTCTGGCTTTACCACAGACTGCCTATATAACCTTTACAAAGGTATTTAATCTTTCTGTTCCTCAGTATGCTTGCCTTTCAAATAAAAACAATAACCAACACACCACACAATTATGAGAGTTAAATAAGGTAAATCCAGGCAAAGAAATGAGCATAGAATTTGTCATAGTCATTCATTGTGGGTTGACTGACTGCTGTGTAACTGGGATCGGGTAGGTACTGAGGGTGCTATGGGAAAGGCTGCCTTCCTCTGCCTCTGCGTCCACTGGTCATCCAGGATGACTCAGCAGCTCAGCGCTTCACTCTAATGAGTTTTCTTGTCTCTGCCTGTTCAGCAGTGATGCACAGGCCACTGTCAAGATCTTGTTATCCAATCTAAAACTGAACATATCAAACTTTGAACACAAAGTCCCTCATCTAGCCCTGTTAGCTTTCTTCTTTGTCCTTAGGGAGCTGGAGTTTTGACCTCCTTACATCCAGTGCAGAATGACTTTTATTTATTTATTTATTATTTTTATTATTTATTAAGAAATCTTCTATTCATTTTACATACCAACCACAGATCCACCTCTCCTCCCTCCTCCTGCCCCCAAGCCTCCCCTCCCAACCCCCCCCATTCCCACCCCTGTTCCCACCTCCTCCAAGGCAAAGTCTCCCAAGGGGCATCAGCAGAGCCTGGTACATTCAGTTGAGGCAGGTCCAAGCCCCTCCCCGCTGCACCAAGACTGCACATGTCCCACCATAGGCACTGGGCTGCAAAAAGCCTGCTCATGCACCAGGTACAGATCCTGATCCCACTACCTGAGGGCCCCCTAAACAGTTCAAGCTAAACAACTGTCTTGCCTATCCAGAGGGCCTAGTCCAGTCCCATGGGAGCTCCACCACTTTTGGTTCATGTGTTTCCACTAGTTTGGCTGGTCGTCTCTGTACATTTTCCCGTCATAATTTCCATGTCCCTTGCTCATAGAATCCCTCCTCTCTCTTATCAATTGGACTCCTGGAGCTTGGTCTGGCACCCAGCCATGGATCTCTGCATCTGTTTTCATCAGTTACTGGATGAAGGCTCTATGATAACAGTTAAGATATTCAGCCATCTGATCACTAGAGTAGGTCAGTTCAGGTACCCTCTTAACTATTGCTAGTAGTCTAAGGTAGGGTCATCCTTGTGGATTCCTGGGAACTTCCCTAGCACCCTGTTTCTCCCTATTACCATGATGTCTTCATTTATCATGGTATCTCTTTCCTTGCCCTCCCACTCTGTCCCTGTTCCAGCTCAAGCCTCCCATTCCTTTATGCTCTCATCCCCCATCCCTTACCCTCCATTACCCCCCTTACCCCCAGTTTGCTCAGGTAGATCTCATCTATTTCTCCTTCACTGGGTGATCCATGCGTCCCTCTTAGGGTCCTCCATGATAGCTAGCTTCTCTGGAGCTGTGAATTGTAGTCTGGTTATCCTTTGCTTTACATCTAGAATCCACTTATGAGTGAGTACATACCATGTTTGTCCTTCTGAGTCTGGGTTACCTCACTCAGGGTGATATTTTCTAGTTCCATCCATTTGCCTGCAAATTTCATGATATCATTGTTCTTTTACTGCCGAGTAGTACTCCATTGTGTATATGTGCCACATTTTCTTTATCCATTCTTCAGTTGACGGGCATCTAGGTTGTTTCCAGGTTCTGGCTATTACAAATAATGCTGCTATGAACATAGTTGAGCGTGTGTCCTTGTGGTATGACTGAGCATTCTTTGGGTATATGCCCAAGAGTGGTATAGCTGGGCCTTGAGGTAGATTGATCCCCAATTTTCTGAGAAACCATACTGATTTCCAAAGTGGCTGTACAAGTTTGCATTCCCACCAACAGTGGAGTGTTCCCCTTGCTCCACATACTCTCCAACATAAGCTGTCTTCAGTGTTTTTTATCATAGCTAGCAGAATGACTTTTTAATTTCCTCATTCCTTTCTTACCTTTCCTCCTCAACTAAGGGCTCATTGATTTAGTGGCATTCTCACTTGACCTTGCCACAGAAGCCCTCACAGACAATGTGGAAATTAATAGTCATGATGGTGTTCCAATAAAAATGTATTTACAACACAGGTGAAGGGTCCTACTAAACCCCACTTGAGCACAGATGACAAGATTTGTCTGTAGACAATACAACACAAACCATGTAGCTATGTCACCTCTCTTTCAGAAATATTAGACTTCTGATAATGCCATACAGCTATGAAATCCATGGGATCCTGTCTAAGAAAGCTGTGAACTATGCCTGTGGCAGAGAGCAGAATATCCATCACACAACATGTCCTTCTCGAAAGAATTGCATAAACCATGATAAGTCAATACACTTGAAAACAAAGATGAAGGGAATGCCCTTGGCATGCCCACATTATCCCTGTGGGAAAGGCAAAGGCTTGGGAGGAATATTCTTGGCTCTTTTCACACGACCAAAGATGATGAGACATAACATCAAGTGTATTCCCTTGCTGTACTTGTAATTGTTTAAGCTAAATGTAAACATCACCACCTGTTTTTCTTGCTTTAATAACAAAAACGAGAAGTCCTTTGTTTGCACCACTCTTGAGATCAAATGCCTGGAGTCTCCTGGTTACCCTATGCAGATCTTTGGCATTTCCTTCAATCTGCAGAGACTTACCCTTGCTTGCTGGGCCCAGTTGACAAAAACTTACTTTTGAAATATCCTACAAGTTTTAGCAGTCTCCTGCCTACTGGGTAGCTTTATATATCACCATGCCATGCCTGGCACTTCACATACCTACAATGCTAATGTTTCTATACAGCCTGATGTTCCTAGTCTGGCATTTATATCCATGTCTTCATCTTGCCTAGTATACTTCATGCACACTTTTTCACTTGGCTAATTCCTGCTATTCTTCCAGGCCTGACCCAGCCTCCTTCAAAGAGCTTTTGTGATCTACATAGGATTAGGTAGCCCTCCCCTGTCTTGCAAGAGTCCTTGTTTATTGATGTTTGACCTACACTGGATTACTGCTTTCTGCTTTCTCCATTACTGAATCCTGAGTCACTCATGGAAGGTTCTATTTGCTATGCCTTACTCATTTTTGCAATCCTCATTTGCCTTAGCTAATATGAAAAAGTCTAGATAACTATTGAATAAACAAATGTTTAAACAAATTCACAAAAATAGTGAGGTTATATAAAGGGATCAGTGAATATACAGCAGTGTTTCTACCATATACATATTTGTCTTATACCCACACATATACATGTGTGCACCTGCAGTTCTTGAATTTTAAACTATATAAATATAAAAGTCATTCCTATAAAGTTGGCAGCATCTCTCATCAGAAATGCTTAGGACCAGGGGTGTTTCATATTTAAGATTTTGTTTTCCAGATTTGGGGGTATCTCCATACACCTAACAAGATATCTTTAGATCAAACCCCAGTCAAAACACAAAATCCATTGTTTCATGTATAAGTTATACACAGTTTATTGTAATTTTATACAATTTTCAGTTAGCTTATCTGAACTGATCGATCACTTGAGGTGATGAATTTTCCATTTGTAACACCATGTCAGTGCCCTGAACAGTTTCAGATTGTGGAGTCTGGATGTGAATGCTTGTTTTTATAACCATATTTTGACAACTGAGGACATTCCAAGCCTGCACTCTAGGAGGAATGTTGCAGGTGGGCTGTGGGCAGGACCAGAGGCTCCCCATGTACACACTCAATTCACCGTGGCTTTTATTCCAGACTGTCTTACATTGGAATTTATTTCTTCTTCCTCACAAGCTATGGATCCAAGAACATTCTAGCCACTGTGGATGTTTACTCTAAAATAAACAAAATTTATTCCAAAGATAAGGTTTTCATCGAGCATTTAAATGTCAAACCTAAGTAATTCATATTACTTTTATAAATACATTTCTATTTCATTGCTTTCCTTATGAGATTTTATGTTTAATAAAAGCAATATCCGTCAACTGAACTTTAACTTACCTTTAGTATAATAGCATTATTTCCATTTATTACAATGTAGACATGCATAGAAAAAATGAAATTTGAATTTATATTGCAAACTAAAGGAAAGCTACATAGGAGACTGGGAGGTTTTGAGTAAAGCAGGTCTGGCTTTGAGCATCTCACTGAGAGAATGCAGGGATAGAGCTAAGCCTGCATTTCTGAAATTCGAAAATGGAGAAAAAAATAACATCACATGGGTTTGGGGAAAAAGTAATATAACAACTGACAAAACACAGTCCTTTTCTATAAACAGCTATTTTTTTGTTTCATCGTCATCATCTTCATCATTATCATTATTTATCAGTTGTTATTCAAGTTTAATGATTAGGTTTAAGCAAAATATACTACTATGTAGTGTTTTCCTCTGAACACAGCTGCACCTTCTGCACCTTACAGAAATGATTGAAAATAAATGGGAAATTACCTCAAAATGGTATGTGTAAATGGCATTTAAGATTATTGCTCATTAAATATTCATTTGAAACATTTGATTAATAACTTTAATATGCAAGGCAGAGGCTAGTTGCTATGTGAGATACAAAAATACCATAATATGATCTCTACCCTCAAGTAAGTTATGATAATGAAGAAGAGAGACAAGTGGGCATGGTGGCACATACCTTTAATCCCAGCACTTGGGAGGCACAGGTAGTCCAATCTCTGCGAGTTCAAGGCCAACCTGATCTACATAATTTGTTCCAGGCCAACCACACAGTAAGACTCTGTCTCAAAAACCAAAAGGAAAAGAAAAGAAAGCAAAAAAAGACATATAAATAGTTATAAGGCAAATAAGATTAAATGCCATATAACAGTGTAAAAAATGCAATTTTATGGGAATGATTTTTACATTTATGTAGGTAAAAATTGGAGAATTGCAGGCAAAAACTATACAGAAGTCAACTCCATAGACAAATCTCTTCAGATACTTGCACTCTGCAGAAAATCACACATTTGACACTGGTCCCAAGATTTGAGAGTTTAGCTGTGCAGCGACACACACAAAACTTAAAACATCATCAGTATTCTACTGTATTTATGGTTTTAGGGTTTTTTTTGTTGTTGTTGCTTTTGTTTTTCTAGGGTTTTGTTGTTATTGTATTGTTTTGGTTTTTTGTATTATTTATTTTTGGGGTGTGTGTGTGTGTGTGTGTGTGTGTGTGTGTGTGTGTGTGTGTTTTGAGACAGGGTTTCTCTGTGCAGCCCTGGCTGTCCTAGACCTAGTTCTGTAGACCAGGCTGGCCTTGAACTCACAGATATCCTCCTGCCTCTGCCTCCTGAGTGCTGGGATTAAATCTGTGAACTACCACCACCTGGTATGTATTTATGTTTTAATAAAATAATAGTTACTGAATTATGAATGTAACACATACATAATACATGTATTAGATGGCACATTCTGTTTTTTTTTTTTTTTTTTTTTTGGTTTTTCGAGACAGGGTTTCTCTGTGTAGCTTTGCGCCTTTCCTGGAACTCACTTGGTAGCCCAGGCTGGCCTCGAACTCACAGAGATCCGCCTGGCTCTGCCTCCCGAGTGCTGGGATTAAAGGCGTGCGCCACCACCGCCCGGCACATTCTGTATTATAACCAAACTGTTACTGTAATGTCAGAAACAGTGATGGCCTGAAGATCACATGTAAACCACTGCAACACTCATCTTCAAGAAGCCTTTCAGACCCATTTCCAGCTTGGAACCCGGCACTGAGATGCATGTGAGGCCAGTTCCAGCTCCATACTGGGTACCAAGATGCATGTTGATTCTGTGACGTACTACACCTCTGCATACTACATTCTGCACACTACACCTCTATGTATGACATCTCTGCACACTACACCTCTGCATTATATATATATATATATATATATATATATATATATATATATATATATATATATATACCTGCACACTACACCTTTCTTGATTCCAGGGAGTTAAGACATGTTTCACCAATTCTTTCTTTCATCCCAGAACTCTGTTTTTATTATTACTTCTTGAGAATTTCATACATGTTTTGATCATATTCACCCCTCTCCTAACACTTGAAGATCAACCCCCATTCCCTACCCACCCAACTTGGTGCCCTCCCCATTATCCATCAAGTCCAACTTCTGCTGCTCATATATTCTTCGCTGTATGGCCTTGCACTGGAGTGTGGTCAAGCTACCATCTCAACACTACCAGGGCAACACTTTCTTTTTTAATTTTTATGCTATGTGTGTAAGTGTTTTGCCTGCATATATGTCTGTGTACCATAGGCCTGCCTGGTGTCATGGAAGCCAGAAGAGGGCATTAGATCCCCTAAACTGGAGTTATAGATTGTTGTGAGCTGCCACATGGGTGCTGGGAATGGAACCTGGATCCTCTGCTGAGCCATCTCTCCATTTACAGGAACAACTCTTAAAGAAAACTGGCTTTTCCTCTCCCTGAAGCTTTCAACAGCCAGTCTCTCCTTGCCTATAGATAGGGCTTCGTGCCCCCTCCTGTCTTCAGGGCAGGATTTGCTCTGGCTTGAGTTTGCAGAGGGCTTGTGCATGCTGTCTTAATTGCTGGGAGTTCATATGTGTAGACATGACATGTGGACAATAAACAAAATTACTAAGAATTTATTTTCACAGAAAGTGATGTTTGCTACAGAAAAGTAGAGGTGGACAGTGAAGAGCAGAGGGCCATGAGGCTGGAGAACAAAGGGGAAGAGTAAGGGACAAGAGGCCTGAAGCTTTCCAATATTTAGAAATCAGAACGTTAAGTAGCCAGTCAGGAATTCTAACCAGCAGCAGCCAGTGGGATCGTTTACACTGGCTTCCCTCTGCCCCTTATTTTTCCCTAAGAAGGAGTAACTTATTTATCAATAACTTTTGAAGATAACATGATAATAGATGGTTCCATTCCCTCCTCTTTGTCTGTAGGGAGCAGGCTGCCATAATAAAGTCTGTGCTCTGTTCTGCTGGCCTCTATGGAATGTTCCCAGAGATGATGTGAGAAGGCCAGCAATTTTCTGTGCTTCTGAAAACTGGTGAGTAATTCTGCCTCATTCTGGAATTCAGTGCCACACAGCTAATTTATCCACAGCTCTAAGCCATGTTTTCTGATAGTAGATTTACCAATAATAACAGTAATGTTCTATGTATGTCTGCCTGATTCCTTTGCCTTATCTCCTAATTGTCTGAAAGCTATGGGCAACAAGAACCAAGTTCACGGGTCCCCTCAGAACCTAATATTCTAAACTACATTTCAGACATGTAGCATTTGCAAGAGCATGTTCTACACCAGAAAAAGTGCAGTTTCGTCATTTGCAAGCCTGCCTACAATGTGGAAGCCAAGATGGAGGTTTTAGAAAAGGGAAGAAATTTTGATCATGTATCAAGAGCGATTTGAGGGGAAAACTGAAACCTAAGCATGAACCTGGCAGTAGCAGAAGAACTGTAGGTTGAGTCTCTTGACTCCCACCCAACCCAAGGAGGATTGTAGTTCTTAACAAAACCTCACATTCATTCTGCCTCGGTTATTTCTGAAGAGAAACAAAACAGAACATTCAACTACCTTCCAGGCTTTTCCCAAAACCCTCCCATCATCCCTTACATACATACATACACCTTAACTCATGACATACATATATCAATGTGTGTGTGTGTGTGTGTGTGTGTGTGTGTGTGTGTGTGTGTGTGTGCATTTGCTCACCTAATGATGTCACTTTGTCTTGTGGTTTCTACTGCTGTGAAAAGACATTGTGACCATGGTAGCTTTTTTTTTTTTTTCAATTTTTCTCACTTATTTTACATACCAACCAGTTTCCCCTCCCTCTTCTCTTCCCCTTCACTCTCCCCCTCCCCCATCTATCCCTCTATCCACTCCTCCACCATTCAGAAAGGGGCAGGCCTCCCATGGTAATCAACAAAGTATGTCATATCGTGTTGAGGTAGAACCAAGCTCCTCCCCCTGCATCAAGGCTGAGTGAGGAATTCCTCCACGGGGAATAGGCTCCAGAAAGCTGGCTCATGTGCCAAGGACAGGTCCTGATCCCACTGCTAGGGGCCCCACAAACAGAACAAGCCACAACAACTGTCATCCACATGCAGAGGGCTTAGGTCAGTCCCATGCAGGATCCCTAGCTGTTGGTCTAGAGTCTGTGAGCTCCTATTAGCTCAGGTCAGGAAAATATTTAATTGAGGTGGCAGCCTACAGTTTCAGAGGTTCAGACGATTATCATGGCAGGGATCATGGGAGTGTGCAAGCAGACATGGAGTTAGCTACATCTTGATCAGAAGGCAACAGGAAATGGGTCTCAGACACTGGGGAGTATGTTGAGCATAGGAAACCTCAAAGCCCACCTGTACAGTGACACACTTCCTCCAATAAGGTCATACCTACTTCAACAAAGCCACACCTCCTAATAGTGCCACTCGCTGTGAGTTTATGGGGGCCAATTACATTCAAACTGCCACATTATACTCCATGGTCCCCATAAGTTTCTAACAATATCATAATGCAAAATGCATTTAGTCCAACTTCAAAAGTCCCCATAGTCTATCACAGCCTCAACAATGTTTAAAAGTCCAGAGTTCAAAGTCTCTGAGATTCATGCAATATCTTAACTGTAATCCCCTATAAAATAAAAAAATCACATACTTCCAACATATAATGTCACAGGATACACATTACCATTCCAAAATGTAGGGAAGGGAGCATAGTGAGGAAATACTGGACCAAACAAGACCAAAAACCAGCTGAGCAAATTCCAAACTCTGCATCTCCATGTTTGACGTTAAAATGCTCTTCAGGTCTCCAACTCCTTTCAGCTTTGATGACTGCAACAACTTCTTTCTCTTGGGCGGGTTCCACTCCCTGTTAGCTGCTCTCCTTGGCAGGTATCCCATAGCTCTGGCATCTCCCACATCTTGGTGTCTCCAAGGTAATCCAGGCTTCACCTTCACAACTTTACACAATGGCCTCTCTAGGACTCCATTCAAGGACACTCCTGACACATTCCTGGCCTCAGCAGCTTTCCTTAGCCATGGAGGCAGGTTCCATAACCTCTTTCTTCTATCCTTAGCTCTAAAGCTAGAACCATGTGGTCGAAGCTGCCAAGTTCTGCTGTTTGCTGGGGCTGGAACATGGCCTCCTCATTCAATTACATCTTCACCAGCTTTCTGTCTTTCACTGCTTAAGCTCGGCTATCCTGAAGCTTGCTCTGTAGACTATGCTTTCCTCAAACTCAGAGATTCACCTGCCTCTTCCTCCAGAGTGCTGGGATTAAAGGCATGTACTACCACACCTGGCTGTAAACTTTTCTTTAGTTCCTTTCCATAAATTGGAATTTAGCTAGGGGGATCTTGCCCTGAGGTCACCACTCCCTTTATTCCATTTCTTAATCTGTTTATCTCCTTGAACACAGCACTTAACTCTATTACTTTTCTTCTGAAATTTTACATTTTCTTGCTCCTTTTTATTATAAATCATTAGAGTTACTACTAATAACCACACAACAGAGTCTATATTAGGCTGTTTTGAGATTTCCGATGCCAACTGAATTAATCCAAAACTTTTCACTTTAGCCTCAGACAGACTCTTTGAACAAGGGCAAAAGGCAGCCACTTTCTTCACCAAAATATCACAAGAACAATCTCTAAGCAACATACTGTAGGTTTTAATGCTGCGGCGCAATGTTATTCATTAAGCGTCGCTGTTACCATGCAAGAAAAGTCATGCGGCACAACAAAACCCACTATCAGTTTTATTAGGAGAAGGGAGGGATAGAAGAGAATGTGACCAGACCTGTGAAAGACACGTGCAGGAGGGAGGAGGAAGGGGAGGAGTCTGTGTCCTGCTTCTTATGGATTCCCCTGCACATGCACATATGGGCTTACGGAGCCATGCCACGCATGTGCAAAAACTGAGTGATCATGCTGCATGCAAAGTACGAAATCACGCAGCACATGGATTACATAGGATGTAAGGCCTGTTGCTTGGCTACTAAACTGCATATTCGGTCATGTAGCTGGGGGAGTGGCCAGGAATTCCAACACATACTAACATTCTTCTCCTCTGTAACCTCTTGCTGTGAAGAGACACCATGACCACAGTAACTCTTATAAAGAAAAACATTTAATTGAGTTGGTGGCTTATAGTTTCAGAGGTTCAGTCCATTATCACCATGGCAGGGAGTGTGGCGGTATACAGGCAGACATCGTATTGGCTACATCTTGATCAGAAAGCAACAGGAAATGGTCTCTGACATTGGGGGGTTTGTTGAGCATAGGAAACCTCAAAGTCCATTCCCACAGTGACATACTTCCTCCAACAATGCCATATCCACTCCAACAAAGTCACCCCTCTTAATAGTGCCATTCCCTATGAGCTTATGGGGACCAATTACATTCATACTACTACACACCTCTAAAGCTTTTCCCTCAGTGAGTGATTTCATTGGATTATAGAAAGGCTTTTCTTTCCTAGGTAACCTAAGAAGTGTCTAGTTATGGTCCTGATGGCCAGCCTCAAAGATGCCCTTATCAGCATTTCCTTTGTGGCTTTCTCACTGCTGGAACTGCCTGAAGCCCCAACACCTTCCTTACTCTCAGTATTTTTACCTCCTTTTCGGAAACTAAGGCCTCTGATGACAAGGTCCTCTCCTCCCATTGTCAATTTCAAACTAAGCCCTAAGTACACAATGTTAGTCCCACCTTCCTTTTTTTCAAAATGAATGAAAAATTTGTTAATTTTGAGAATGAGAATGCCCCATAGGCTTATATATTTGCATCCTCAGTCCTCATTTGATGAACTGTTTGGGAGGAGGCGTGGCCTTGTTGGGAGTGGGTATAGCTTTGTTGGAGTGGGTGTGGCCTTGTTCAAGGAAGTGAGTCATTAGAAGTGAGCTTTGAGGTTTCAAAAGCCCATGCCAAGCCCAGTCTCTTGCTCTCCACCTGCAGATCTGGATGAAGCTCTCAGCAACTTCTCCGGCACCATGCCTGCTTGCATGCTGCCAAGCAAGTCCCCTTTCCTCTGTAAATGCTTTCCTCTGTAGGAGTTGCCTTGTTCATGGTGTCTCTTCACAGAAACAGAACTTTAAAAAAAGGCAGTATCTGTGTTAAACCTTGTGTGATGCAACAAAATGGTGCTTGGAGGAAGATGTAGAACAGAAAATGCCCATGTTACAAAAGAAAAAAAAATCTCCATACCTAAATCCACACATTGTATTTGTGTACTAGCATTACCCTGACAAAAACATTACAGACTGGGTGAGAAACAGCAGAAAGTTATTTTTTTGCAAGACCAGGGACCACTAGGGCTGGCGTCTGAAGCGGCGGCGTGTCTTCCTGTCCTGCGGCTTTCTCACCGTGTGCTCACTTGCCCTTCCCTCTGTGCATGTCCACAGACAAAGAGAGCCCTGCAGCATCTCCTCTCCTAATCAGGATACCAACCCTACATGTAGGGCCCTACCCTATGACCTCAGTCAACCTTAATTATCTACCCAACGAACCTCTTTTCAAACAGAGTCAGACTGGGGTTTAGGGCTTTAAAGTATGGCTATGAGGTTAAAAGAGTACAAATTAATAGTTAAGTAACTAGAAAAACAATTAATGTTGGAGTAGGTATGTGCTATAAGAAGGAAAGAACATCATGGAAGAGATAAGTAAAACAAAACATTAAAAAATAGAATCAGTGAAAAGAAATGTTTGTTCCTATGGGGAAAAATTATCAAGATTGAAAAAGTTTGGCTAGACAAAGGAAAAAGTAGAGGATATGCAAATGGCTAAACTCATAAATGAAACTGAGACCTTCCTAAATATGTTCAGATTTACCTTTGTTATTTTCAACTGTGTGTGTGATGTATGTGTGCTGCATCTGTGAGTCTATCTGGGTCCATATGTGCATGAGTACAGAAGCCCACAAAGGCCAAGCTTCAGCTTCCCTGGAGCTGGAGTTATAAGCACTGTGAGCTACATGACATGGGTACTGGGAACTGAACTTGGGTCCTCTGCAAGACCAGCAAGTACTCTTGACTGCTCAGCCACTCTCTAGATCCTTCCTTAATATCTTACAGAAAAAAAAGGATTATAAAAGTATTCAATGAACGGCTGCACACCATGATTACATACATCATGAACAAGAGGGTTTATCTAGAGATACAAGAGGGTTTTGCAATGCAAATCAGTACCACATTCTACTTTAACAGAGTGAAGGGGAAATCATGATCCTCTCAGTTGACAGAGAAAAAAACATTTGACAAAATTCAACTTTTCCATGGTTTTAAAAAGAACTCTTAATAACCTAGGAGTGGAAGGAAATTTCTTTGGGATGAAAAAGGACTTATATGAAAAGCCAACACTATCATATTTACTGATGGAATAATAAAGTATTCACGGAAAAAAACAGAAATAAATCATGCCTTTTCCATTTCTAGTGAACACTGTACTGGAAGCTCTAGACTGAGAACTTAGGCAATAAAAATAAAAAGTCATATAAATTAACAACAAAAGAGGTAAAGCTATCTGTATTTACAGATGGCATATTGTAAATTTCCAAGTAACACTGCGTGTACACACACACACACACACACACACACACACACACACACACACACACACACACACACCTACCAATCTACTATGTTAATTGGGAAAGATGTAGGCCATACGGTCAACAGGGAAAACATCAGTTGTATTTTTATACACCAGCAATGAACAATCTGAAAAAGAAATTAAGTGGAAAATTCATTACAACATCCAAAATAACAAAAATTTTAAAAATACATCGTAAACTAAAACCTATAGAACAGTATGGAAAGAATTTAAAGATCTTAAAAATAGATTGCTCTGGATTGAGACTTAATGATGCTCAAGATTACCTACAGATTCAGTGAAGTAACCATTAGAAGTCCAATAGCCTTTTATGAACAAACCAAAAAGTCTGTCCTTAATGTGATGTAGAAAATTAAGTGGCCCCAAAGAGCCCAAACAATATTTTTTAAAAAAGTAAATAACACTTCCTGATTTCAGAAGTTACAGTAACAAAAACAGCTCATTTCTGTCATGGAGACACACAGATCAACCAAGTAGGATTAAGTGTCCAGAAGCAAATCCTTTCATCTGTGGCCAGCTGATTTTGACAAGTGTGTCAGGATCATCCATTGGGGGGGGGGGGGGGGGGGGGGGCGGGGGGGGGGGGGCAACGAATGACATCCTTTGCAAAAAATGGAAACCAGATGTTGACATGCAAAAGAGTAAGGGTGGAGTCCTCCCTCACATCATGCATAAAAAAAGAACTCAAAATGGACCAACAATCTAACAATAAGAACCAAAACAATGTAACTCCCAGAGACCAAGACAAGAGTAAATTTTCCTGATGTTAGATTGGTAATGGATTCTGTTTATGACAGCTAATGCAGAAACAACAAAATACAAAATAGTTTACACCAAATGTTTAAATATCTGTGCAAAGGGCATCAGGAAAGTGGGTTGATGAGAATGGAGACATGGCAGGTACTTAGGCGCACTTACTGCTCTTGCAGAGCACCAGGTTCAGACCCCAGCTCCGAAGTAAGAGTTCACAACAATCTGCCACTCCAGTTCCGGGGGTCCAGGGCACTCTTGTGACCTCTGCAGCATCAGGCACACAAGTGATGGACACACACACATGCAGGAAAACACTCAAATACACAAATCAAAGGCAAGATGGGCTCTGTTAGATGCAGAATCTAGTAAACAATGTTTTCTTTTCTTAATGGAAAATACCAAGTGTCAGAGAGAATGTAAATAAATAAAGAAATCTTTGTGTATTGATTGTCAGAATATGGAAAATAGTTTGGTGATTCTTCAAGAACTTAAATATAAACTTTTCATAAAACCAAACCATTTCACTCTTTTCAGCCCCCAAATAATTGAAATGAGTACTAAAATAAGTATATATGCCCACTACTCATGAGTGTGTTATTTACAATATACCAAATATGCAGAGTTCTGTTCCCAGAACCCACAGGAAGGCTCACAACTACCTGTAATTTAAGCTCTAGCTGGCCTCCAAAGATACCTGCATTCACAGGTACACTGCCCAACACAGATACAAACACACACAGGTAATTAAAAATATAAAAGAGGGGCTTGGAATTTGGCTCAGAGGTAGAGCGCTTGCCTAGCAAGCACAAGGCTCTGGGTTCGGTCCTCAGCTCCAGAAAAAAATAAAATAAAATAAAATATATATATGATATATATATATATATATATTTCATATATATATATATGAAACCTATCAAAGCTATAATATTAAAGTTGAATATAATGCTATAGCTAAAATTATAAATAACAGTATTACTTCACATAAGGGTAAGTTTCAAAGTTGAAGTTCATTTAAACAAAATATTTTAAAATAATAACCAATATTTGCTGAACATTTATCATTAACTTGGTACTCTCCTAAGGTTTTCAAATATATTGATGCATAGAGTAATTTAGTCAGTTTTAATGCAATACTTACATGCCAAACTATGAAAGTATTCTTCACATGGCTGTTGTGGTGTAATTGAAAGATATTAGTATTTTTTAACAAAACACTGGGAACAATCTTGGCCATTATCAAGAAAACAGACACAAAAACTGTCTATTCTTAGTGATGTATTATATAGCAATGAGATGAAATGATGAAACATGACACAACTTGGAATCCTAGAAACACAATCACAAATTAGTGAAGCTTGTTAAAAAACTTAAAACTCCTTGATATCATGCAACATCAACTACACATGTATGTAACAATAAACCGTACTTTAAAAAGAATGGATACAGGGCTGGAGAGGACACAAGTTCGTTTCCCAGCACCCACAATGGGAGGCTCACAACCAGTCTTAACTCCAGGTCCAGGGGATCCCATGTTCTCTTCTGGCCTCCACAGGTACCTCCCTGCACACACATGAACGCTCATTCCACACAGACACACATATATGAATAATTTTAAAAATAAAACTTTGAAGATATAAATACGAAATCATGCTTTTTAAAAGCCAGGGATTATAAGAATACAAATGCCAGGGTGCTGGGTAACTTCAGGAAGATGCATTAGGGAGTAACACAGTAAATTCAACAAACTAGATCTTAACATAAGTCCTAGATTCATGAGTGTTTGCCTTTTTATAATGCTTTATTGCTTCAAAACATACACATTTATTGGGCATCTATTCTATATCTGGCCACGTAGTTTTAAAACAATTACTTTACAATAAATGATACTGCACAAGAATGCATGTGGACACCACTACCCTCAGTGTTGGGAGCGTAAGTGCCCAGACTTAATGCGTTTCACAACCTTCTATTTCACACTAAAGACAAAGTAAAACTCTTGACTTTCAAACACAAGCGAAATTCCAGTCTGTCACTCCAGATAAGTGCGATAAATTATACTCAGTGACTGGTTTTTCTTTTTTGATTTTTTTTGTTTGGTTTTTGTTTGTTTGTTTGTTTGTTTGTTTTTCGAGACAGGGTTTCTCTGTGTAGCTTTGGAGCCTGTCCTGGAACTCACTCTGTAGCCCAGGCTGGCCTTGAACTCACAGAGATCCGCCTGCCTCTGCCTCCCTGGGATTAAAAGCGTGCGCCACCACTGCCTGGGTGGTTTTTTCTTTTTTGAAAGAAAGAAAAAAATAATAATAATAAAAACCCCTGAAAACAATAACATTATCCTTCCCCTCAGCAAAGAAAATAATCTTGAACTATAAAAATATAAAGAAATAGAATATGTCCTCCAGAAACACTGAAACCGACAGAACCCTGGGCACCGGCGGTGGAACCGCAGCACCGAGGTGCCTGGAGACTTCAGAAATTCCCGCTATCCCTTTAAGAAGCCCGAGAAACCGGAAGTGACAGTACGCCCCACGAATTGAGCCCCTCCTCTGAGCGCGGCCTTCGCCCAATGCGTACGTTCGCGGTTCCGTGGTTTCCCTGTTCTTGCTGCAGTTCTCCGCCAGCCTCCTCGGCGTTCGCATGTCGCATTTCGGTCACTAAGTCCCAGAGACCCAGGCTTCCCGCGCTCTAGCCCCGGCCAGGCCTGCTCCCACGGTCCCGCCCGAGGTCGGGCTCGCTCTAATGACGCACTTCCGGCGGCGGCGGGGTGCTCTTGGGAATTGTGTCCCGCGGTGTGGCCGCGGCGGAAGATGGGTTGGTGGGGCAGATGCAGATCCCGAACCCGTGCAGAAAGGACAGTGAGCTCCTCCACCAGGTGCGAGCCGGCTGGCGCAGGTACGGCCGCCGTCCTGCCCTGTGGCTTTGCCCGGCGTGTTTGACGGCGACCCCTGCGCGGCTCCCCGACAGTATGATCCAAGTGGCCCCCTCCATGACATTTCTCCGAGGCCAGAGTCACAAATAACAGCCAGAGGGTGGCGTTTGCAATTAGCCGCTTTCTGGTCCGGCAGCGCAATGGGTGACCCCTTCTCCCCACCCCCACCCCCCCTGACGTCGAGAGGGACAGCCCCATCCTGGCGCGAGTTGTGGACGCACCGAAGCGGGCCTTTGGCGGAAATGGATAGAAAACCGCCTGGCCGGTGGCCTTGTCCCCTAACTCCCAACTCCAGGCTGCTGGGCTCCAAAGCTTTGGCCGCCGCTGCGTGTGTTCCACTGCCCCAGTGTCTTTGCACAGTTCAGCACCCCCTGCCGCTTGCCGCAGGAACCTTAAATAGACAGGACTTGTCACAGTATCCCAGCCAGGTTGTGTCACCCACCCACTTAGACCAGATGTTTCTGGTCTTCCTCGGGTTTCCTCCCCGGAATTACTTAGTTTTACACATTTCGTTTCACATGCATTGTGCCTTTTAGATGGAGAAGTTCAGGCAAAAGTGTTTACTTTCCAATTTTCTTTGTATCTCTCACAATACCATATGCCTAGGACTGAGTGTTAGAGGATGAAGATAAGATACATTTTTTTCAACATCTGCAAAGTATTATGGGGGGGAAGATTCATAATCTCGTGTCTGGTTAAGTAATGCTTCTGTGTAAAAAAAAAAAATCGTTCTTAAAGCTGTTTTTACTTTTCACCCCTCCACGTGGTTGGTTGGTTTATTTTGTACGACTATATGCAGCTTAGAAAGCTACACAGAAAACTCACCTTGAGCAGTTTTGGTGTTTGCTGCTGAAAATGGTGAGTATAAAGTATCGTGGCAAAGGGAAAAAGAAATGATGAGCACAGTCCCTCCACTAGGTACATCCACTTGGCTTTGTTCCCTAAAACTAAATGGAAGAGAATTAGCTCACTGTCCCTGGGCAAGTCACTACTAATGAAGCTGCAGTTTTCTTTAAAGGCATAACCTGAATCATTGAAGTTGGTTTAGCACTCTGTGACTTTTTTTCTGGATCAAAGAAGGTAAGGAAGAAGAGTTTGCTTCTTTAAGTAGAGGTTCTCTTAGAAACCCCTCGGTGAAATCTGACTATCTTGAAATGTTCAGGCTCTTTATCGTTGGATGGCCAATATAGTCTCACACAGGCATCTTCATATCGACTTAAAAGCTGTCTCCTTCATTGACAGTTTACACTTCTGAGAACTATAGTAAGGAAAACAGTTAAAACACTTTTGTAAACTGTAGTTTAAAGAGAGGTTACAGTGATTGCCAGTTATCGTCAGAGAAGTTTCAGAGTGGGAGTCTGAGCCCTCCTACATAGATCCCCATGTATATTTACAACACATGCACTCTTTTTTTTTCAATTATTTTAAGGTCTTGTGGTTTGCTCGCCCTCAGAAATTTGCACCATCACACAGTGCAGATCACTGCAGAATCTCCGCTTCTTTTCTTACCAGCACCAACATTGGCCTTTGCAGTCCCCGTGACCTTCATTCTTTTTTTGTGTTCCTTTCCCTGTTTTCTGGCAGTCTTTCTCTGCTCACAAAGGTCATGCCTTTTGAGCCTCTGTCTAAGCTCATTCTTCTTTCATTCATAATCCAGAGAATCATAAATTGTGCTGAAGCCATGTGACTTGCGACCACTGAAATGGCTTCTGAATCCAAATACGAAGTTGATGTTTGGTGTGGTTTTGTACATTTTGGCTAGCTTTCCCCACATTTCTGCCTTCAGTACTGTCTCCTTTCCTGGGTGAAGGGCCCCAGTGGTGAATTGTACCCCCACCCTGAAGCACAGGTTGGACATAAAC